GCCGATTCATCGATTAATCGAAAAAATAATTGGCCGATTCATCGATTTTTAAAATAATCGTTAGTTGCAGCCCTAAGGTGATCATGCATGGCTTTAGAACGCAGAATGTGAATTTTTATGTAGGACAGAATTGACTCCTTTGGGCTAAGACAGTTGCCCCGTTTCTGACCTACAGTATAATTTTACCCCAAGCTTGCTCATTAGTTCCAAACCTATCTAAGAAAAATCAAGTTTTCAAGAAATAGGACATTAAACTAGACTGCTTCTGTACTTTCATAATTACTTTCCTTCTATTATGTTATTATATATGAATAAATTTAACAGTAATATCCTTATTTCAAGTCTTCCTTTCTTGCATGCTCCTAAGGTTTTTCATAATAGCTTTCCATAACAGCACTTGGCAATGCAGAGAGTTCTTCATATTTCTGCATCAGCCTGGACATGTGTTTGCTTAAATGTGGACACCTTGTGTTTGCTTACCTTTGAAAGGGTATGCACCTTCTTGTCTTTTTGTTGTGATGTATTAGGAAAGGGTTTTGGCGGGGTTGATGGCATTTTTAAACACTGAAAGATGTGGCAGTATACAGAGAAATGGTTCTTGAGCATTCCTCATTACACAGTCGAGATCAGAGGCTGCAACCTGTGGCTTCAGAGACACAAGTGGCTCTGTAGACACACTTTGGCTAAAATGATAAACACCCAATTAACCTCTTAAAATGACATATACTAACATTTAATTGTAGCATTTAATTTTTTGACTAATTGCTTTTTATCTCCAATAAAATAAATGTATTTTTTCCATTTTGGCAAAAATATTGGTCTTTTCAGCATAGTTTTCCACATATTTTTGAAACCAACTGAGAAAATATTTACTACCTTTTCAAATGTTTTTTTCTTCATTTTAAAACCTAAAATATGAAATGGAATGCTTGTTAAAAAGGCTACATCTCCAGTGGTAGATATTTATTTGTTATATTTATTTAGTTTTTTAAAAAAGGTCATGTAATGTCTGAGGCTGTTTACAAATGAGTTTTGTTCATTATTGGCCTTAAGTGAGAAATGGTTAATTGGATTGTAAAGGTTACAGAACCCTAATATAAATTGTGTGGCGTAGCCATTAATACAAAGAGGTCTGCTGAGAAGGAAGAAAACAGAAGAAGGAACATTGTCACTCCCTATGTTGCTGGAGTCTCTGGAGTTGGAGGAGGATTTTCAATTAGCACCGGATCCCTGTGCACTTCAAACAAAAACTGGTTCACCCCAAAGACAAGAAACCCAGAATTAGGGCCGACAACGTGGTTTATGCCCTTCGGTGTAGTGAAGAGTGCACAGACCTTTAAATTGGAGAGACAAGCAACCATTACACAGGCACATTGCTCAACACAGGAGGGCCAACTCCTCAGGATAGGACTCAGCTGTTCACCTACACCTGAAGGCTAAAGGACACTCGTTTGAGGACAACAACGTCCATATTCTTGCAAAGAAGAACAAATGGTATGAGCAAGGGGTTAAGGAAGCCATCGTTATTAACCTGCAGAAACCATCTCTCAACAGAGGATGTTGTCATAGACATAACCTTACACCCACCTACAAAGCACTTTTAGGAACAATACCAAGATGATTCCCCTCTCACCCGCCCTCACCTGACTCACACTTCAACCAGGCATGCGACCGAAACCATTCTCGATGAGGGAGCTAACAACCCATCAGAATCCCCTAACGACCATTAACACCCCCCAGGTGACCTCCATGGCCAATCTGGTGGGAGGGATCAGAGCCACCTTTTGTTTCCCCTAAATCTTTGTTACACCTACAGTATATTAATGTCAGTGCTCCCTACAGCTAGTTAGAAATGAAGAAGCCTCTTGGATGAAAGGTGAAACATCTTCCAGAACACTTCACGTTCAGTTGACTGTTCAGACTTAACCTTTTTTAGGTGCCGACCATGACCAGGATTAGGTGTTTAGAGCAGCAAAAAGGTTATAGAAAAACATTGTCATACAAATATGGACCTTAGAAAGGTGTGAGAAGAGTGAAAAAATAAACAAGTAAATACTGTGTGTACTACTAAAGGGTACAGTATAAACAGTATAAAAACGTGCACCTGGAGAATAAATAACCAATATACAGCTATAGACATTTTTACAGTAATGGATAATGTGAAAATAGTAGCAACATCAGAGATGTGCAAAAATAGAGCAGCATGTTATTTAACTGACTAAAGTAAAAACTGCAAAATCGGCATAAATGTAACAACATATTGAGATTGTTGGGAATAGTTGTGGTTATAGAGTCTCACAGTTGCTTGGAGGAACAATCTGTGATAACGCTCCCTGGCGCATTTAGGGTGCAGAAGTCTCTCTCTGAAGGAGCTCTCCAATTTTGCAACAGTTTCATGCATGGGGTGGGGTACAGCCATGGTAGAAGGTAACCTTCTTCCCTGTAAACTATGTTTGTGACATAGGCCACTAGGATTTCATATAAAAGGCCCTGGTTTTCCAAGATTTTTTGATGCCATGTGGATGCATGGACAATAAAGTCCTTTTGCTTTGAGGAGTTAATAAAATACCTTTGTGTGTAATTTTACCCCATTATAAATACATCATCTGTTTGAAGGCAGAGATTTCTTAGAGATTCTAGGGCTGTGTCCGAACGTCACCCTGACCCCTAAATCCCTTCATTACTATATAGAGCGGGGGCTATACAGTGGACTTCATAGTGAACTCAGTTAACTGACCGCTCGGACAGATGATCACTGCTTTCCAATCACCGTTTTGCACATAACTCCACGCATGGTGCCTGCGCCATCTTTATTTGTCGCCGCCACAACAAATCTCATGATGCTTGGCGAAGAGAATTCTCACAAAGCAATCTGGCATATAACTGCTCATCTAGTGACCATGGATAATCACTACTTTTCAAGGTGCATTGTGGGAAATTTCGAGTCCACTACTTTTTTTTATTGTAAAATATCGTAACCATCATACAGTGCCCTATAAAGTGATTAGGGCTGATGTTCAGACAGCCTAGGTCTCTTGCCAGTTGTCACCAGACATGGCACAATATCCCTTGTGCTTGGCCTGTCCACAGCCTGCTTGCAATGGAGGTATTTTAGTTGTCACTTTCAAGTCTTTACATGTTGAGACTCCTCCTTATATTTTTGGTTTGATCCAAGATATTACTCTCCTTACAGTTTCAGGTCATCAAATTAGATCAATCAGATAAGGTTGTGGAAAAGTTTAAAGTAATGTATTGGTTTAAAATATATCAAAGCTTATAACATTTCATGGAGCTTCCTTCCTTCCTTCCTTCCTTCCTTCCTTCCTTCCTTCCTTCCTTCCTTCCTTCCTTCCTTCCTTCCTTCCATCCATCCATCCATCCATCCATCCATCCATCCATCCATCCATCCATCCATCCATCCCCATGTATTGATGCAGGTCCACAGGGGTGGAATCTATTAAGATATGTGCATTTGTCTATATTAATAAAATATAAATGCATCCAATATAAGTTTGTTTTTTGCGTTTATGTTATATTAAGACAAGACATTCAGATTGTGCCAGGTCTGGTCAGAATATCATTGCTGTATTATCAAATCGAGCCGTCACAAAAAACAACAAACACATGAGTAACCTCTTTCGTGGCATCGTAGGTTTTTGAGAGCTGAAACCTGAGTCCACCCCCTCTGTTTAAGGTTGGTTTTTCTCTCTTAACAGAAATGGCTTCCTTCACACCCCTTTCAAACCACTTGTCCAAAATGTGAACATTCTGGTCCTTAAACAAGTGTCCTTAAGGTTTAGGTGGATAGCAGAGTCTTGTCCTGAGGAGGTAGCTCTGTGGAGAGGTTGTTTGGTTTCTCCAATATAAGGATCAGAGCAATCCTCGCTGCACTGAAATGCATACACCACTCAGCTCATCTGAGGTTTGGGAGTTTTGTCCTTAGGATGCACTACCCTCTGTCTAAGGGTCTTGTTTGGTTTGAAATGTACTTGGATTTTGTGTTTGGAGAAAATCCTCTTGAGTTTTTTGAGAGACTTAACATATGGGATGGAGATGTTATCACTATATCCTTTTAATTCTCTTTTATAGTACAATGAACAGATCCGGCTTTTTTCCAATAAGTGATGAGATATAACACAACAGAAGAAACAGGGATAACCTGCAGGTGCAAGTATGTAAACATGCGTCTGTTTATTTACCCTGCAGCGTCTCAGAAGGAGTCTGCCGCCAGGATTGCTGAGAAGAATTTCATCAACATGGACCACGACTACATCAGCTACAGGCCTGCCCACCATAGAGCCAGGCCCTGTACGGCGAGATCGCTCAGCAAGCATCAAGCCCACTGTGGACAGGTGATCACATCAGCTCTTTAAACGACATGCTACTACTTTGATTTCACCATCTGACTGAATCCTCTTGTTAAAGCAGTGAATATAGGAACAACCCATTGATGATAACCATCTCAAAGAGCCGCTCCATGTCAGCTACCTACACTGCCTCTGGCACTTCCAACCACCTCTACAGCAAACCACTGGGAAGACCAGGTGTGTGAGTAGACAATCCTTGGCTTTTCTGCTCATGTTTTAAATGACTCCATTTAACCTGAGGAACAATCTTTTCCAGGTTTCCCCCCCTCCAATGTGTCACCTCTGGGCTCTCCATCTCCGTCTCCTCCTGTTCAGGGAACTCCTGTCTCCAGCCCTACAATAAAGACATGTTCAGTGCAGCTTCCTGAGCTGGTGGGGCAACTGACAGAACAGGTTCCTGTGTCTATAGCCCCTAAGAGCCATCACAGAGCCTTAACTCACAGCCAGAGCGCCCCAAGCTCCACCACAATTCACTGGCGGCCTCCATCACTCTGTGGCAGGTAAAAGTCAGGCAGTTGTGCTCTACTATAGGGTACTAAATATAAAAAGCAAGCCGACATGTCTTTGTTCTGTTTTCTAGCTGCGGCAGGCCGTTCAGCAATCGACTAAACAATGGAGTAGAATCAGGCAGCAAAACAGACAGAATACCCCATCCAGGTACTGCTCCACAAACATTGCATGGAAATGACTAAACAGCCAAGATTTAGAACATCACATTTTTGATTCTGTGTGATCCCCAGATGAGAGAGTTGTAGCTTCCTCAGATTATGACAGCACCTATGACAGCACTTATGAGACCAACCACAGTGACAGCAGCGACTTTGCACAAAACGATGAAGAGGGAGAGGGAGGCAAGAAGCCACCTGAAGTGAGGGATGGCTGTAGGGAGTGCCCGACAGAGGGCATTGTTCTTCACCCTCTACTGCCATCACCAGTGGTAAGCTGTTATAGTGGGTTTAAGAATATTGCAATATTTATAAGGCCTTCAAACATGAAAAGAAAGTAAGAGCTGTCTCTGGCTTTATGTTAACCTGTAAGGACAAGTCAGCGTCTGCCCCGGAGAGTCCAGTCATGCCGGGTCTGGAACCCCTGATGAGTCAACTCAACAACTGGAACTTCCCCATTTTCAGCCTTGTGGAGAAGACTAATGGTAAAACAGGCTGCATCCTCAGCCAGGTAAAATAAATAAATAAAACATGTCTGACAGAATTTAGAAATACCATATATCTAGACTACAGAGCACACCTCACTATAAGCCGCACCGGGCTATAAGACGCTGATATCTATTAAACTGTCTCCCACCAAATTTGTAGGGGGCGGTCTACATATAGCCCCTGGAGTTGGGACAGAGAAAAATGCTAGCTCCCGTTAGTTTGTTTGCTCGCAGCAGGAAGAGCTTCTACTGAAAGATGGGGCTTCGTCAGCTCTGCAGGAGTTGAGTCCAGTCCCTTCAAAGTTCGACAGCTTTAATGAAGCAAATAAATGGCAAAATGTGTGAATTGAATTGTTCTCCTTCGTGCCTGCTGCTAGTATGTTCTTGTGATAAATGAAAATTAACAACTTATTCTTTAATTTCCAACTTTGACTTCCCTCTCTGGTGGTTAAATGAATAGAAAAGCCAAACCTTCTTATAAGCCGCATGGTTCAAAGCGTGGGAAAAAGTTGCAGCTTATTGTTGGGAAAATACGTTAGTAACAGAAACAGAAATATCCTTTATTATCATGCAGTGTGTAATTCAGGTGTATCAGTGGCGAAGCATTAGGCAAGCAGGTTCACACCTCTAAAAGTCTAGAATGAATCTGAACAAAAACAAGAATCTAAAGTTAGAAGATAATCAACAGTAAAAGAAAAACCTGCATCACCAATAAGAAATACTGGACAGTTAAAAACTGGACATTCTCAGATTACCGTAAGTTAAAGGTGCAACATTTTTGGATGACAAGAAACCTACAAAATGTGCATCTTTGAGAAAGAACAATCCATGATTCAGAGAAAAAAAAAAAAAAACAGAGCTAGAAATGTTGCAAATACCAGCAGGGATGTAAAAACACTGTTTTTATTATAAACAAGCGTAAATGAATGACACACCCAAGTAAAAGAAATGTCCTCATTTATTGCAACCACAAACAATAATGAATTTATTGTTATCTTATTTGATGATTAATACTGTTAACACTTAATGATTGGATGGAAAATAATACACTATAATTACTGAAAAAAAACTAATCTAAAATGTATGGCTCATATTTGTGTTAATTGCTTTTTTGAACCTCCTTATTCCATAATTAGTGCAAGTCTTTTGAGGTATTTCTTAACAGCTTTACACAGCTGAGAACTGAAGGCTTTTCCAATCGTTTTTTGTAAAATATCTCAATCTCAGCAGGATCATATGGAAAATGGTAATTTATCAGTCCTGTTATAGATTTTTTTTAATAGATTTTTAAAAAAATTAAGGAGCTTTTTCGCTGCAAGAGTAGATGTCTTACAAGAGAAAAGTTGTTGGTTTAATTCGAACATTCCGGGCCCATTCTTGGAGTTTTTAACCTTTTATCTTTCTTTTACTAAAGACTTTCTTGGTTTCTGTATTATATTTCTGTCTCCTATTGGGTATGGGGCCAGAGTCTTTGCAGATTTACATGTAGAAATAAATAATTGTTAAATTAGCATGATCATTAAGACCCGTGAAACTTTACACCTTTCCAAAACATAGCATTGTCTTACATATTAGTGATATAACAAAGAGATATATCCTTAAATATTAAGGACCTTTTCTCATCATTTTGCATCCATCACGCAGACTTTGTAAAAATGCAAATGCAAAAGTATCCAGTGCTTTAAACTTGCAGATCTGTTTATTATATTTTAGATTGGATCTTGAATTACTTAAAGCAGTGGTTTCTCATGCTTTCAGATGTTATTATGTTCTTATTTTTTAGGTTTCCTATCGACTATTTGAAGACACTGGTTTGTTTGAGACATTCAAGATTCCTATTAAAGAGTTTATGAACTACTTTCATGCCTTGGAGAATGGATACAGGGACATACCTTGTGAGTAGGCTATATTTGCATGTACATTAAAAAATACACAAAAAAACAAAAAAAAGCAAAACAAGTGTGCCAATATCTTCAGCTGCCACTAGGTGGATCCATTGCTCATATAATAAAATTTCTTCACTTGATATTCTTGACTGACTTGCAATAGGAAGCAGACATAAGCTTGATAATACTTGAACTTTCAACATTTTATTTAAAGTTCAGTAATTAATGCATGAAGCTACATATTCAGACATTGATATCCTTAAAATATTTAATACAGAATCAATGGAAGCCCAAAACAGGCGTTAATTTGTTAAAATATTGAGTGTCCAATTACACTGCAAGAAATTAGATCCCCCTAAACAATACTTACAATGAATCTAATGTCAAGATTTTTAGTTTTTAGTAACTTGTTTTACTCTGCTCACAAGTTATGTTTTTATGTTTACCAAATGTTCTTACTTGGTTTCTTAATATCTTAAGCCTACTTATATATCTTCTGTCATGTTTTAAGCTATCCAGCTTACTGACTATAGGCTGTTTCACAGGTCCTCACTAGTTTGATTCATTAATATTAATCATGACTCATTCCTAGAAGTTATGTTATGTTGTAATGGGCAGGAATATGCTCACTGCCTTCTTTGTCTAAATGAGATTTGGTCCGTCTGCTTTCAGATCACAATCGAATCCATGCAACTGATGTTCTGCACGCGGTGTGGTACCTCACCACGCAGCCGGTACCGGGTCTGCCCACCCTGCCCATGGAGAATGGGATACACACTGGTGATAGACTTATAGTGTTCCCTCTTCTTTACATTTGCCTTAAACATCTGTTTTAAACCAACGCCTTTGGTTCTAAAAACATCAACACATTTGTTTACATAACCCAGCAGATTTTAGTGTGTTTTATACCAGTATAAATTGACTCAGGTGTGCCTCATTTAGATTTTCAGCTAGTTTCTTGTTTTTATGTGGATTGAATGTATCAGTTTGATTATTAGTCTCTTTGCAATTGGTGATTTCAGAAACGGAAAACAGCGTTACACCTGGAGGGTCAGGGTTCCTGGTGTCCAAGATGAGCTCTAAGCTAGAAGATGGCTATGGCTTCCTGTGCGGTCTGATTCCAGCTCTGGAGCTCATGGCTCTCTATGTTGCTGCTGCCATGCATGATTATGACCACCCGGGAAGAACAAATGCCTTTCTGGTAGCAACAAGTGCACCACAGGTTTGTAAATTATGTGTTCTGGCAGTAAGAGGAGGTTCAGCTAGAAGATCAGCATTAGCAAAGTTCTCCTTTGTAGCGCTCAAACTACAGCTGCAGATTTGGCTTATATTTATTTTACTCATAAAAAAAAAAATGAAGTTATTCATAATTTGTCTAAGTGTCTTTAGACCAGAACTCACAGAATCCGATTTGGCGTCCGATCCGACAGAGAATCGTGTCAGACGAGGTCGGGGGGCTTGGTGCTCATTAAAAGTCAATGAAGATGATCACAACCGACATGATTTTACGCAAGGGGGCTTTTGTAAGTCTGACTGAGATAAACCACAGGTCTATTTTAGCCAGACTAAGAGGTTATAAAGGAAACAAATCCGCTTTGGGGCTAAATACAAAAATAAAATCTGTTAATGTCCCGAGGAAACAGTCAGTTTTGGAGTCACACATCACGTATATAGTAAGCGGGACAGACTTGTGCAAAAACAATGAATGAAACATTATAAAATATAATACTTTACCCATTACAGGAATTCAGGGGGAGAGAAAACGGACAAAGCATGATGTCCGAGGAATAGCTATGATTAATAATATTTCTTCCTCTCTAACTAATTTATTACAAACATAATACAAGTGAAAATCAAAAATAGCAGAATAATCACATTAGAATGTGATTTTATTCATCAAAAAATGTATTACATATGTCTTAAATGACTAACTCTCGTAAATTTTTATTCTATTGCAATGACATGAAAGACTAGGTAAACTTCTGTAAATCATCAAATGAACATTGGTAATATGAAAGTATTCTCTCTTTCTTTGCTGTAGGCTCTTCTTTACAATGACAGGTCGGTGCTGGAAAACCACCACGCTGCAGCAGCCTGGAACCTCTTCATGTCCCAACCAGAGTTTAACTTCCTGGCCAACCTTGAACATGTGGAGTTCAAGCGGTTCCGTTTTCTTGTCATCGAAGCAATCTTGGCCACCGACCTCAAAAAGCACTTTGACTTCCTTGCAGAATTTAATGCAAAGGTAGAATACAGAACTTGTAGTTATGATTTGGTTTCCTTGATTAATAATCTATTCCAGGCAGCGGTTGATTCTTGTTCATCTCGCATTATTCTAATCAATAGACAACACGATATGTCCTCATTTTTGCTCAGGTGGGTGATGAAGGTGTGTCTGGCATTGACTGGACCAATGAAAACGACCGATTGCTGGTGTGCCAGATGTGCATCAAGCTAGCCGATGTCAATGGGCCACTAAAGAATAAGGAGCTACATCTGCAGTGGACAGAAGGGATTGTCAATGAGTTCTATGAACAAGTGAGTTTAAATATACATTTTATATATACATTATATATATATATATATATATATATATATATATATAATATAATAATTATACTGGCTCCACTTATCATATAGCTTAACTCCAAAATACATTCCTGGCTTGTAAGTGTATAGATGGCCCAGACCTCTCAGGGTCTTCTGGCTCTAATCTGCTTTGCATCCATACAACCAGAACAAAAGTTATTTTGCGTCACAAATCTGGAACAAATACCCTAAAAAAAAGTAGAAGTGCTGAAACCCTCTGTTGCTTTAGATCAAGATTAGGAATGCAATTTTTAAGAGTTGCCTTTGATTGTGCTGTCTGAATATTATTAGTTAAGTTTCCAGTCTATTTTCATTTTATCTTTTTATTTTATTATTAATCATTTTATGTTTTCTTATATAATCATCTTATGTCAATGATTCAGTTTCATTCTCTTTATATATTTGTGTTGCCTCTGAGCCACTGCAATTTACTTTTTTCATGGCACTTCGATTTTTTTTTAACACTGAAATATGTTACATTCTTGCCTTTCCTCGTGATTACATATAAAAAAATTCTACCCAGAGTTTTCCGTTAAATTAATTATCTAAAAATAATCAAGTCTTGGTGACAATTAGGTGACTTTTTGGCCGATGTGAAATAGGCTTGTGTCTTCTTGTTGGTTGGCATTTGGTTTTCTTCTTGGAAATCTGTCTTGGTTGCCAATCTCATTCTTTAATTGCCAAGTCGTGAACACTGACCCAAAATGAGGAAAGGGATGCTTTCAGTAGTCTCGTGAGACTATCCTGATCTCGCGAGTTTTCAAGATTTCACTCGCTAATCAGTCTGGAGACTCTCCGTTGAAGAAAATTTGGAGCCGTTCACCAAACGAACATCCAATCAGCATTGGCTTTGAGGCGGGTTGAGGTGTGACGCAACGAGAAGCGCGACAGTTCAGTCTAAAGAACATGGCGGCTTCAGCCAATGAAACTAGCGTTAGCGTGGCTATCGAGCAAGTTTTATCGGAATTACACTGTATTTCTTCACTGAAAGAAGAGCAAAACACTGCTCTGGAGGCTTTTCTCAGAGGAAAAGATGTTTTTGCTCTTCTCCCGACTGGTTTCGGCAAGAGTTTGATCTATCAATTGGCTCCTCTTCGTCGTCGCTCTGTTACGTCATATGCTTCGTTGATCTGATTGGTTTATTTGGCCCGTCTATCACCAACATAGGCCAATCAGCTAACCAGTATTTTCGCCCCTTCCCAAAATTACTTCTACGGAAGGTTTCCAGATGGATATGTGGAGCAAATCGGAGTCAGGTTATGCTTTCTGTGCTTTAGATGTTGTTCTATGTTCTTTTGGGACCTTCTGGATATGCCATCAGTACACTCATAGTAATTTGGTTCTTTTCCATTCTTAACAAGGTTCAGTGCTCCATGTTTTCTCTATTTATGATTGATTAATCTCACTTTGGCTCATTGCAGCTTGAAAGTCTTAGAAAGGGGTTGATAAATCCCTTGCCAGACTGAAAGCTGTCGTCGGCTTAAATTCTTTCATGTTCATGATTTTCTTTAGATTAGGGTATAACGTCTTGTTAATTTGATCATATCTAGCCTACTTAATGATGCCAAAGAGTTTCTATTGATGTGGTTTATTTATTCTGTAGTTTTAACATTTCAGACATTCAGCCCTGTTTATGGAAACTGAACTTGAAATTACAATTTGTGATAGGAGCAGGTTGGTATGGATAGCTGGTTCACTTGAGTAAATGATATCCTGATTTTAAAACTACTTTTTGATTAGATTTCTCAGAAAATCTCTAACATTTAAGTTTGAAAAACAAGCAAAAAACAAGAAATCCAATGTTTGTTGGACTACACTGTATATAGAAAACATGAAAGCATAAGTTTTAACTGCTCGGATATATATCTCTAAAGAAAGGATAGATTATAAAGGAAAGTCAATATTTCTTTTCATGCACGCCGTTCTCCTGCGGGAGATCATGGTTCACGAGAACTGGAAAACATCTACCTCTGCATATAATGAGGATTTACACTTCCTTTGTGCTTAAGGACACTCCACTAAGGATCTTTTGTGTGTAACTGCATGCATCTGCCTCTGCCTGAAATTGAATATTGAGAACACTTTCTGGCTCATGAATTTATCAATGTAGATGGATGCTTGGCAACAAATCCTTCTTCAAACCACCTGGACCATGAAGATAAGATCTGATTAGTAGGAGCGGTAGTGTTATTAAATGTACTCGTTTGGAAGTTTCAAGGAGCTTTCTTTTTATTAATCTATGTATTATTTCCATCTGTAATTACTGAATTAAAAGAAACTACAAAAATCTGATAACATGCAGGTGTTGATAAAGGCATTTCAGAGGCATATCACAGGGTTACTTTGTCTAACATTAAAGGGGACTTGCATATCGGAAGGAAAAAAAACAGAGTTCAGTGGAGCTCTAATCTTTTGGGGGTACATCAAAAGAGGCAGAGTGCACATTTGGGGTTTTAGTTTTTTTTCTTTTTTTAAGGGGAAAGGATGACCTAAATGCAGGCTCATTGACAGCTCTCTTTCAGAGTGGCTGAGAAAGATCACAGACCTTCACACAACTGGGGTCCTAAGATACATTCGTTTACAACATGCTGTACTGTTCTTTAACATGTTATCACCGATGCAGGCCGTCATTATGCATAGATCTAATATATACAATACCCACCCGCATTACACGCCGACACCACACAGGTTTTTGGTTGCCATGGCAATAGGAACCCCCTCCTTTTTGTACAGCTTGCAAGCAGTATCATCAGTGCATCAAACATAAAAGTAGAATTCTGCACCATACTCACAGTTTTATACCTTAACAGCAGCACCGTCTCCGAAAGATCAGACAGAAGTTATTGGCAATTACTGTTCCTGGGATATGCATTCATTTTTCTTATTAAATACAAAATGAGTAAAAACGAAAGAATGCAAAGCATCTCAAGGACAAGAAACAGATGAAATATTAGGACTAATAAATTATAATCATGTTTCCAAATGTTTAATCTGTTAAGTGGAATAAATGAGGGCAGATAAATTTGTTTATGCCTTCGTTTGTTTTGATCATGTGGGAACAAATGTACAGATTGGAGCCGTCACGGCTGCAGCAAATCTCTTGTCTGTCAGACGCTTTTATTTGCGGGGCTGATACCTACAGATTAGTTCTACTTTGAACTCCTCTTTTTCTATTTGCAGTCATCTTGACCTACTTGCCAGTGACTGTACCCGGAGGCTGTATATCTGGGAATCCAAGTGTTTGACAGCAGTGTTAAAATTATTTCAGAGATAGGTAGAATTTACGCACAGTTGACTGAACAGCCTTTTTTTCTTATCTATTCAATACATTTCATTCCTATCACCAAATTTCCATGTCTCTATGCACTATTGATACAGGTGTTTGATAAGCCTTAAAATAAATATTTTAATGAAGCAGAGAAAACTAATAACTACCTGCTAGTAATGCACTTCTGAGTACTTCAACTATATTCAGACATCTTGTGTCCTCTGGAATTACACAAGGTTGGAGCTCAGAGATGGAGAGATCCTTCCTCTTTGCAGACTCTTAGATCATCCATCTTCCTGGGTCCTCTCTCTTGCACCCTTATTTTTTCAGGTCACATGTTTTTTAAAGGATTTAGGTCTAGGTTGATTTTTTATTTCTGTTATAGTCGCTATACAAATTACTATAACAAAGTTATTGGGAACCTTTGAAAAAAGGCCTCCTGCATCTTAGATTCCCCACTTTGTCATGAGATACTTCTTCATATATTGATTTTTTCTTTAGAACAAGTTAGAGTATTTATTGCCTAATAGCACCGTTTTAATCTTACTGACTGAAGCAAACAGTCACAGTTATGTTCCAGTGAGTTAATCAAACTCTTCCTGTTACATGTCCAATGGTAAGACACAAATAGCCTTTCATACCTCTCAAGCAATATTGCTGCCTTTTCTTGACTTATGGGGATTATCAAATATCTCACTTACATGAATGTCTTTTCTCTCTCCTTCTATGGATTAGTTTTTAAATACCTTTTCAGATATACTCAGTAAATTATTTTATTAATTATATGTGTCAAGTTTATAATTTTACTAGATGATCAGAGATAAACATATTACTCAATTATTCATTTCTGACTGAAACAGTGTGAAAGTGTCTCTGGCCTTAAGCCTCAGCAGTGGTCATAATGAGTTGAGAAGTGCTATCTACATTTCTGTGCAGCACTTTGAGGTATATTTCTCTCTTTAACAAAAGTTGACATTATGATACTGCAACAAAATTTAAATAGATTTTAAGACTATCCATAAACGTTTTAAAAGGCCTGGCAAAATAAAACAAAACGGTGGATATTGCTCTGTTCTGCTTTTTTATGCATTATTGGCATTTTTTTATATACCGGTAAAAAGGGGGGAAAAAAAACAAATTTTTGAGTTTGAAGTTAAAATGAAACCTGGTCACTCTGTAAAAGATTTGCCATAAATCTTTTTTTTTTTTTTTTTCAATATAATTGTGCTGTGTAGTATATTAAACTTTCAAATAACACGTATTAAGTTGATTAAACCAATAAACATCTTATTATTAAATATCGGCTCCCTGCTCTCCTTTCCTACTTTCTCTCCTTCATAGTGATTTTTATAATGTTTTTCTATTAGTGAATTCCGTATCTGATAAATAATATTTGTTAATCTGTTGTTATTCAATTACCTAAATATTTTGTCCTTTCTTTCCCTTTTACATATGAACCATTTTGCAAATCCACTCAGGGTGATGAAGAGGCCACTTTAGGCCTTCCTATCAGCCCATTCATGGACCGCTCTGCCCCCCAGCTTGCCAAACTACAACAGTCCTTCATCTCCCACATAGTGGGACCACTGTGCTCCTCCTACGACTCTGCTGCTCTGATGCCAGGACGCTGGGTGGACCCGTCTGAAGAGGCGGCTGAGCTGGATGCAGAAAAGGAAGGACAGGATACAGAGGAGGAGGAGGAGGAGGAGGAGGACACAGCGGATGAGGATGCCTCAACAGGTTCCACTGCCTCCCATATGTCTGCCTGCTATTATCTAGTTGCTTTTCTTGTCATATGGGAACTTTGTATAAACAAATAATGATAAATTATTAAGTCCAATTGTATGTGGTTATTATATGACTGAGAGAGCTAGGGATTTTGTAGACGGTATGTAAGTCCATGTTTGACCGTTTTCCTTTTGTTTTTATAGAGCATCAGGAAACAAAAAAGCTGCACAGACGGAAGGTCTTTTGTCAGATCACGCAACATCTTCTGGAAAACCACGAAATGTGGAAACGTGTAATTACAAGCGAAGCCTCTCCCGAGGAGACCCAAGAAGAAAATACCAACTGCTTAGGGAACCCCGTGGATTCAATCACAGCAATCCGCGAGGAGGAGGAGGAGCAGGCAAGCAAAGAAGAAGAGTCAGCCGACGACCCCGATGAAGGGGAAGAGGCAGCGGAGGAAGAAGAAGTCCTTCCACAATCAGAGACCTCAGGAGAAAAAGAGGAAGTTCCAGAATGAGATTATGGATTTGAACCTCCTCTTAAACCAGGAATCTTGACCATCCTTTGAAAATGTTTGATTCTTTCCTAACCAAACTCTTTGTACGGTAGCCAGCACATCACTTTTTGACACAACACTGTAGAAGATGTTTTGGGTAAAACGTGCCTAACAAAAACAGGGTCGAGGACTGGGATGATGCATGACCAGTATATCTGATAAGGAGATGAGCAGAAGAAGAAGAAATAAGAGAAACAGAGTAGTGATTACAAATAATGGACTCAGATTTTGTTTGTTTTTTTTAACTGTAGCACTTGTTTTACTGTGGATCTGGAATCCTGCCCTCACCCAGGCTGCCCCTGTGCACTAATGCATCAGCAACTGTTCTTCCAGAATCTCCCACTTTATTATCAGTCAGTGTAGCCCCCTCAGCTGGACAAAGGCGTGCAGCAAGCCCCTTCTTCAGGACAGTTGAATGAAAGTCAGCCTAAATCTGTTGTCGGACATTTGGATTAAAGAAGACCAGTTCGACACAATCACACTCACATTCCACGCTTCAAACTGAGAAAAAGTTAGAGAACCTTGTAGCTCCAAAAGCTTGATTTTAGCTCAAGGAAAACAATGTTTTAGCATTTATTTTCTCTCCCATTTTTTTTTTTTATATATTTTTTTGGCTATTCAGTCCAAAAAGACACCAGACTGAAAAACTCAGGAAAGCAGATTTAGAATAACAAAAGGACTTCTGACATCCTTGTCCTTTTATTTCCCTCTGCTTATTTTCTTTTCTTTGTTTTCTGTCCTCTGAATACCCACAAATGTCGGGCTAGATTCCCATAACATGGCAGAAACCAAAATAGAGTAAAAGAAACGCTCATGTTGGTAGTTTGGTGAAATCTTTGAGAATGTAAAATAATTGTTGTAGTGAATGCGGCTACTGCTAAGTTTCAGCTCAAAATCACCCAATATTTACAGAAATAAGACCTGAAAGGCCCTTTGGCATCCAGGAGGCGCTGTGTACCTACAAGAAGTTGTTTAGATGTCAGATTTTAAAAAAGGGTAGTCAAGCTTTTATTTTTATTTTCTTTATAAATTTAAAAGAAACAATAAAAAAGATGTTAGGGAAACTTAAGTAGCATGTATATGTAGCCCTTTTCTCAATAGTAGCATGGAGAAAATGCAGAATAAGAGGTGTAAGCACTTTAAATTACAGCAACATTTTTATTTCAAGTTGACACAGATCCTGTAGGAGAAGGTTCTTCCATTCATACTTTACACTCTAAAAACTGCTGGGTTATAAACAACCTAATGAGCAATTATTTTGCTTTTAGTTAAAAATGCAGATGCCTTTAACAGCCTTGAGTTGATTTTAAAAAACAGGATAGAGCAATTGGTTTCATACTATTGAGTCAAATTTAGGGCTGGGTAATTAATTGAATTTGCAATATATTTGCAATTTAACAAAATACAACTTTCGTACTGCAGAGGTTATCCAGTACAGTGGCATTACGTTTTACAAAAATAAGTCACTATTTTTTCCACTTTTTTTTTTCACTTTACAGTTAAAGTGGGTTTGCTGCCACACAGAAGGGTTGGAGCTAGCAAGCAGATCCAAGTAACTTTAAGCCCTCGTCCACACAACAATAATGTGCTGTGTCTGTACTTTAAAAAAGGCAGCATTCAGGGTCATGGAAATATTGAAACTCTGTAGTGAAACATCTTCATGCTTGTAGTTAGTGCAAAGAAAAATCTAAATGAAATTGCTGTATTGGTTGAAAAAAATCTCAATTTAGCTTTTTGGCAAAAAAGTTAGGTTATAACATCATAAGATCTAACATCAATGCTTAAAAACATTAAACACAATCAAACAAAGAACATTTGGTTAAAATGCATACATCTCCCGTGTCTCCAAACGCTATCTCTGCAGGAATTAATTGCATACCATCCTCCCGTTAAATTTAACAAAATGGTTTGTTTTCATATTTATGTAATAAATTTTTTTCAATAATGTCGAAAGCTTGAGCTCATTGATAATATGTGTAACATACAAAGCAGTAGGATTTTTTAGAAACAGTTAATTTTTGCAGCACAAAGTTCAATCTCTGTATAAAACATTGCTTTAAAGCTAAGCATGAATGTTGAATATATATATCACTAGGTTGCCTTACCTGGAAAAATTGGCTATCAGATACAGATCAAATAAAGTTTTAAAGCTTGATTAAGTTCAACTTATTTTCTGGTGTGAATTCAAACCCTAACAAAACCTACTGACATTAGCATTAGCAGAACATGATCAGACTCCTATTTGATTCTGTTCCCCAGATCTCAGCTTTTCCGTAAACCTCTGTCCAAACATGAGTCTGGCTTCAGAAGTTAAGAAATAACCCAGCAGTATTTTAAGTGTAACTATTAGGCGTGCACTGATTAAGGGTTTCTGGCTGATCACAGAGTGCCGATCTTTAAAAAGTATGACATTCCGATGTTGACGATACAGATTACTTTTTAAAAAGGATCACAACACACAAGTTATTGAATCTTATCTTACTGGTAAAAAAAAATGCAATCATTGCCTGTGAAACAAAAACTTGTGAAATAACTGCTCTGAAATATAAATTAAAGGTTAATGAATTGATAGTGGGTGGTTTTCAGAAATGTACAGTGGTAGATCAGATAGGAGCCAAAGATCTGTTTCACATGTAAGTATTAGCTGAATAACTGATCTCCCAAAATTATGAAAATCAGGGCAGGTCGATTGGATGGCTGGACGATAAATCGGTGCACCCTTAGTAACCATCTTCCAACAAATTATCTGACAGGTAGTGTTCATGCTCTCCTTTGATGTCCTCACAGATTTATATTGGTGGTGATTAAGGAAACTGTGAACATGAGGAACAGCCCCCTAGTAATGAGGCTTAAGGCTGATTTATACTCAGAAATCAGGTTGTCTGTGTGTGTCACGGTGAATGCAAATGTGCTCCCTGCTGCAGACACTCTGCTGCACCTCCCCAAAATTGTAGGTGACCGCAGACAGTGCTGCAGACAGTAGGCCTCTGTTTGGTCATCCGCTCTACTCATGCATATTTCCTGTTTGGTACCTTACCGGCTTGTTTTGTTTGTATGACCGCCATTGCGGTAAAACAGCTTGTGAAGTTGGACCAGCTAGAAGAGCGAGGTGCGCAAGAACGCTGGGACCCTTTTTCCACCTGGATGCCCGCTCTTTTTTGCCCTCATGTCCCTCCATTGTTGTACAAACTTGCCCCGACTTCCTCACCGCCTCAGCCGTGTCTAGACCCCAGACATGGGCAATGTGGAGTCAACAAGTCATCTCCATGTCATGTATTTGATCTACCCAGCCAATTAACCAGGTGAGTTCAATCTGCACAGGTTAACTCACGGTGAAGATTGGACTCACCTGCTTCAATGGCTGGGTAGAGCAAATACATGACATGGAGATGACTTGTTGACTCCACACTGCCCATGTCTGCTAGACCCACACCTAGTTTGTGATTATCCATCTTGCGTGGTAGCGTGGAATAACATAGCAGAGACCACGTTTCAATATTGGGCATAAATCAAAAATATCTGCGACAAGCTCACTGAGACACACTGCTGCGAAGTATAACCAGCCCTTTAGCGAGGAACAGCGGTGGATACATGAGAAGGGAGGAGAACCTTTTAGCATTACATGTAGTTTTCCTTGAAGGGTTTTTGGTAAATTTCAAAGTGGAGCAGATTCTTCCAGATGAAGACATTCATTGACATTGTACTGTATTTACACCGACATGAGAAGAGCATCATAGGAGGTTTAAGGCTGCTTAGTGTCTTAACCTGCATAACTGCAACAACTGGCTTCCATCAGATTCATTATTACAACTGAAAGACTTTAACACTCTGTGAGAGCTTCAGACCAATAGACAGAAAGTGATTATATATATACACCTTAAGAGGTACAGCTGATTAATTGTTTAATAGCGCTAGTTATCAATCAACCAGTTGCTGAAGTTTAAACTGGGCATTAGAATTTGGAAAAATACATGTTTGTTTGTTCTAGACTTGATTTTAAAAACTGCTGATCCACTTGTGTTCTTAGAGACTAATACCTGTAGGATTTACAGAGACTGGTCTGAAAACACGAGAGCTACAATCCAGGTGATGGTTTCTGTGTGAGTGAAAATGCCTTGTTGAAATCACAGGAGAATAAGCAGATTGGTTGGAGATAACAGAGAGGCAGTAGTCACTCAATCAACAAAGGAATGAGAATGTAAAACATGGGAAACCTTGAAGCAGATGGAACAAGTAGAATAAGGCTATGCATGGAGCCATTCCTATCAGCTATGAGCAGAAAGCTGAGACTACGCACAGGCTCACTGTAACATGAGAATAGTAGATAAACAAATGTTTCCCTATCAGATGAGAGTTGATCCCTGGACCTATTTTCAGATGAAAAGGATATATTTAGTGATAAAAACAATCAATCCATCCTTCCTGGTATCGGATGTTCAGGCTGCTGCTGGTAATATGTGATGTGTTGGATCTCTACGTTAGGGTGATGGATGTGCAGCAGCTTTAGATGCTATCATATCATGTTTCTGACACTTTATTTAATCCATATGTGATTTACGGCTGTTCTAAAAGTAAAAACGGATGTATATCATAAGTCCTAACAAGTTGTACCTAACACTGAGAGGAAGAACAATTGTATGAGATCTAAAGCAATCCAACAGCAGGTAGTTTCCTTCTGTAAGAGGAGCAAGATGACAGCTTATAAGTGAGTATGGATGGTTGGAGCTCCTGTGGCTCTCATGTAGCGGGTGTGTTGCTGGGTAACTATTGATCAGTAATAACCACCTGACATACACTCATATGTGCCCTTTATGCAATCAGGCGGACCATTTTTTTTAAAATACCCTGGATGAAAAAACTAACAAAACAACTTTATCCAGCCTGTATAACAATCTTATTTGGTGTGACACAATTTCTTTACTCAATTGCCGTTTGCTAATACTGTTGTAATACTGCATAAATATTTAGCTGTATCACTTGCATAGTTATCAGAATGCCCATTGTTGCACAAGACGGCTAAACTGTACAACATAATACCCTTGGCTACTTTTTGGAACTTCGTAACTAACAGATGCATTACTGCGAAATTCGGAATCAAACCAACTGTTTATTGTCAAAAGATTTGGGTGTGGATTTTTTTATGTCAGCCTTCTAGAAGTTCAAAGAACAAGGCACCATTAAAACAAGTGACATGAGGTAATCAGGTCAAATCACTGGAATCAACTGAAATCTCTAATTGAGATAAACATGAGCTTGAGCCTGAAAAAGGCTGATGAACCATCCTACAAGGGTTTGTCCTTGCAATGCCAAAAAATGCACATTAAGATTCCCTAAAACATATCTAATGTCTAAATCTATAGGTTTATCCATATGAAGAGGAACCTTTTGAACTTGAAAACACAAAACTGCAGAAAAATTACATTTCACAGTGCTTCATACAGTATATTATATAGTTTCCATGCAATTCTCTAAATCCATAACCACCCATTTTTTTATATTCTGCCGCAATATTTTTGTGAAGAAATGACATAGCCCCCAGTGTTTGAGACTTCATCAAAGTCAAAACAAAAATCCTTCCCCTCTAACTATAAAGTACAGTGCAACAATCAAAGACACATGAACCAAACAAAGCTGTTATTGATTTTATGGGTTTCTATATGAAGAACACAGATGTATGTTTTCCCAGGGCACGTTCTTTTTATCCAACATTATGTATAGATTTCAGTCTGGGAAATCAAATCCTGTCTGTTTTTAGCTCAAGTCCTCAGAGGCTCAAACAGTGCGCTGTGAAAAAGTATTTATCTCCTTGAAAATTTGTGCTGCATGCCAGACTAAGGTCTTTTAAATCATCCCTATCACACAGAAATAGTCTAAAAGCATAATGCAGTTTTAAAATGACGATTTAATGAAGGACGATTAGCCAAACCTACCTGGCCCTTGAGTGAAAAAGAAAATGCCCCATAAACATATCATTCATTACACCCTGTGCAAAAACAACTGCCATGAAACTTCAGAATTAATCACATTGGATAGTTTTCAGTCTTAGCAAAATGTGCCTAAAGGTCATGACACAATAGTTTTTACAAGGCCACACCTCTATCTTTTTTTTTTTCTTTTAGACTGTTACCCACCGTGCAGAAATAGGTTGAAAAGACATTATTTACGTCCAAACGACGTTTATATCTGGTTTAAATGTGAAAGGTGAAAAGCGTTAATTTGCAGAAAAGACTTTGAAAAATGGTTTTGCAAAATCATTTCAACACCTATTTTTGGACTAAATTGGGACAAATTTAGACTGACCAAACATAGCCTAAATTTTAACAACTATTTCTGGACTAAATCAAGACTATGGCAGACTGACTTCTAAATTATGTCTGGTGTTTGTGGGGTTTACAGCTGGACTTGTGGTGTTTTTTGAATAATGATACTCCAAATATTAGCCAAGTTAGCTGTACC